TTTTTATTTTTTATTTATTATTATTTATGGGGTCTTGTCTCTTCCTCTAAAATTAAAAATATTGAAAAATTAATGAATTATTAATTTAATAATATTAAAATCGATTCCAAAATTAAACATTTTATATTTGAATTTAAATTTAAATTTTAATCATAATATAATAAAATAAAAAATTTGAGATAATATTGCCTCAAAATTCATCATTCCATCAACGCTTCATTAATTTTCTTGGTGATTTTATATATATCACAATCGTGGCTGCCCCCCCTTTTTTATTTTTATAAAATCAATTAGAAAATTATAAAAAAAAATCCTTCTATCTCGAAACCAACATTGTCAATTAATGAATTAATTATTGACTTGGATTTTAAGTTAATACAACCGGATGATTTGGATTATTTAACTAATAATCAAGTTTTATTTTATTTTTATTTTTTGTTTTTATGTTCATGCCCCCTCCCTGCAACAGTCCATCCTTTTTATCTCAACATTTGCCTACTACTCAGGCCAGACTCATTGGTGGCCTTCCCAATCCCCCATTTTTCCTATATTTGGAAGTTGGAACAGATTTGGTACATCTCTATTTACATTTTTTTTAAAAATTAAGTAAAAAAATTAACGGATCAAAATATATAATAAGATTTAACGAAATTTTATATTAAAAATTTAAATTATTTATGAAAAATATGACTTTTAATAAAAATTACACCTAAAATTTATAAGTAAAATCCGACTCTCTTTCTAATGTATTTATTCCAAGTTTATTTCTTTTTTCCATTGCTATTTATTACTCATAAGTACTACTTGCTTAAAAATCTGTTTACCTTATATCTTTTTTAATTGAATGTCTAAAAAAATTCTTTAAAGTTGCCTTAAATATTTTCTCAAGCAAATAAAATTATTACATTAATTATTAATAATAATTATTATTACATTTAAGCTAATCATTAGTAAATTTTTTTGTAATTAATCCAAAAAAGTTTTTTTGTACAACTTTGATTCTTGCCTTAACAGATGAGATCAACAGCACGGAATCAAAAATTTTTTCCTTAAAAACTGTCACACTCTTTTGTGAATGTAAACTTCTCTAAACCGTCCGATAAAAAATCTTTAACCACAGAAAAAATGTAGACCCCATGTTTCTGATGATTTACCGTATCATCACACCTCAAAAGGCAATAGATCTAAAAAAAAAAAACATGAAGGATCACCAACGTGTGAGATGTTCCTTCGAATAATTTACAAACAAAATACTTGATATTGAAGTATGAAAAGCTGAAATTAGATTTATAATCTAAAATTTGATACTATATAAATATTATATAAAAAATATTAAAAAAATTAATTAAAATTTTTAATAACAATTATATATAAATTTAATAAAATAAAAAATTTTAATATTTATATGTGAATAAAAATTATTATATATAATTTTTTATAAAATATGATATAAATATATGAATTTAATATTTTATATAGCTAAAAAGTTTACAATAATAATAATAAAAAAAATCTAAATATGGTTGCATTCGATGGAGAGTACCTCTCCTTTCTCTTCGAATTTTTTCACCTCAAATTCACTCTTTCTCTCTTTGCAGATCTCACCATTCACTCTCGGCTTTCTCTTCCAAAAACCCTCCAACAACGCCGTGTTTTTTCTTTTTCTTTTTCACAATGTCAGATAGAGTCTTCCCTTCTTCCAAACCTACAGCCACCGTTGCTGCTCCACCTGCCGCCAACGGCGGCACTGGAGGGGCCGCAGCCACTACAACAGCTACAACCAACGGTGGCACCACAAAATCCCATCTTTACAACCCCACTTCTCGCCCACCATACCGTCCACAACCCCATCACCGCCGTTACCACCACCGTCCTCGGCGAAACTATTGTTGCTGCTGCTGTTTCTGGGCCATCCTCCTAATTCTCATTCTTGCCCTTTTAGTAGCCATAACTGGCACCGTTCTTTACGTCCTTTATCGCCCTCAGCGACCTTCTTTTACCCTTGCTTCCCTCCGTATCCACCGGTTAAACCTAACAACGAGCGCGGACTCCTCCTCTTCCCACCTCTCAACCCTTTTCCACTTAACCCTTTCGTCCAAAAACCCAAACTCCCATCTTTCCTTCTCTTACGACCCTTTTGTGGTTTCATGCGTATCAAGCAACAGCGATGTTTTTATAGGCAACGGAACATTGCCAGCTTTCGTCAGTAACAGCAAAAATGAGACAACTTTCGGGGGGGTTGTGGTAACGACATCGAGTGATCTAGATGCGGAGACAGTGAACAACTTAAGACCGGATCTGAAGAAGAAAAATGGGATTTTGTTGAAAGTTCAGATGGATACTAGAGTGACAGTGAAAATGGATGGATTGAAGAGCAAGAAAGTTGGGATTAGGGTTACTTGTGATGGGATTAAAGGGGTTGTACCAAAAGGTAAGTCACCGTCGGTGGCTAATGTTTCTGGGGCCAAGTGTAAGGTTGATCTCCGGATCAAGATCTGGAAATGGACCTTTTGAGAACACATCTCAAATCCCATTTTTACTTACTTTTTCAATGCTTTAGATTTTTCTTTTTTGTTTAACTTCTTTGGGGTTAGTAAAATAAGTGACCCAAAAAAAAATCATGCAACAAATCAAGAACCAATTGTGGGATGAGAAATTGAGAAAAAAAAATAAAACTTGAGGGATTAATTGTTAGTAGATTTAGGAAGGAGAGGCCGAAGTCTCTGAAGAACAAGATGTTGAAATTAGTTTTTTTTTTTTTTTTTAAGTTTTTTACATAATTCTGGTGTTGTAAGTGATTTGCGATTTTCATTTTATTTCATGAATGCAATGTTATAATATACATTAAGAGAATTACTATCAATTATATGAAATTTAATTTCCACCTTTACTGTAATTTTACTCTGGTCATCTTGTTTTGATTGCTGGTCTTAATTTTGCCTTGTGTTCTTAATCACTATAAAAATTAGAAGAGTAAGACAGAAAAGCGTGAATCGATTACTGACAAAGGATTTTACTTTCGCTTTCTTTTAGTAAAACAATGTGATTGGCATTGCGTGGCAAGCAGTCCAAGATGGTTTTAGAACGTGCCTAAATTAGCTCCAAGTCCAGGTTACATCCCCAATGCCTAAAAGTACTGAAATCAATGGTTTTCTCTTGCCTTCCGTGAACCGGAATTCAAACAGTTCTCATGCAGAAAAAAAGTTCAAAGAACCAGAAGAACATCATGGGATTGCAGTAATTTGTCTGAGTTCCCATGTCTTTTAGTTTGAAGTTCGAACATTGTCGGTAGAACTTAACCACGATTTCTTTCTGGCAAATGACCAAAATGATTAGAGCCAAAGGTTTTGCTGTCAACAAATTATTCGTGGGGAAATGCCTAAAACGACTGACATGAGTTATGAATACCATTAAAAGGTTTTTTCTTTCTTTTCATTATAAAAAGGGCCGAGGATGAGACTTGGTAATCTCGTATTCTTCTAGTATGATTTTATAATTAATGTTTTCAAGAGCATCCCATGATGGCGAAAGTGATTAAATTCGTGTGCACGTGGTTTCTGTTTCTTATTGGTCTGCTTAAACAGGGGGCATTTGGAATTTTGTCAGATGTCTGCAAACTTTTCTTAAAGAGTTTTGATCGTAAGTGCTCAAATCCCACTCAGCTTGACTACAAGTATGGATTTTTGGACCATTCTGGCTGGTCTTTGATCAATAAATTTTACTACCAGTTGACTTGTTCCCAATGTACAAGATTCTTGATTAGAGGGGAAAACACTAGATTCTTACACCCTGTTATTCGGCTAAACACTGAGGTAAAAGTTAAAATGCTAGAAATAAAATCATTCTATTCAAATGGTAAAAAATTGGATTTTTTTTAAATAAAATTTTGATTTTAAATTTTATAAATAAAAATAAAAATTTGTGAAAATTTATTCTTTTTATAAAATTTGACTTAGCTCGATTTTGAATTAATCAAAATTCAAAATGATTATTAAAGACTAAAAAATTTCAAAAAAAAAAATGCTAAAAAAAAATGATAGCCCATAGGAAATGAGTAATAGGGTTGGTGATTCAATTGGTAATAGATGAATTTCGATTTAATTTTATAAAATTAATTTTTTAAAAAATATATAAATTAAATCAAAATTGAATATAAAAAAATAATATTTTAATGTCAAATTATATCAAATTTAAATATTAAATTTAGAAATTATGTCAGAGACGAGTAAAAATCTACTCCATTCAACCCGAAACTATCCATGGAAATAACTAAAGGGTAGAGAGAGATTGTGTCAACTACTACTAGATTTTTGACAACTTAAGCCTTTGCTTCTGGACCTTCTTGTATTTGGACTGGATTAATCTGTAACCAGATTTCAAAACGGTTCGGAGGTGGGCCAAATCGTTCGAGATAAATATCTGCTTCGAAAATGTCAGCTTGGGATGTTGAATTTCTCTCGGCCGACATGGCCTGGCAGCTTGTATTAGAATTTGTCTGTCGATGATCTGGCAATCTAGAGTTGGCCCATAGCCAGCTACCCTCGAGCCAATTCAAGAAGAAATCAAGCACAGAAACTGTTGTAACGCTTGTGTCGACCACATCCGAGGAGTGAAGTGAACTAATCCTGCAGATACATCATGGAAACGACAGAAGTTACAAATGCTTGAAAATTATCGACCATTTAGATAAATTTCAGGATGGATGTCAAGCAACATCATACTACATTAATTTATGTTTTAAACGAAAAATCTCAAGAATTTGATGTAAGAAACTTTAACTTGAGTTGTATCTTTTCAATAATGGATCATGATAATAACAAAAATTCCTTGGTCAACAAAGCTTTTGAAGTCTGATCTGATTTAGGTTACATTTTTTTGGGTTACATTTTTTTGGTTGTCGGGCAAAGAAATGTGATTGGTTGTAGGAAAATTTTTATCCGATGTTCTTTAGTTCCTGTCCTGCTGGAAGTAGAAGGCAAATAAAAGTATAGAACCAGAAAAAATTTGTACGAGTGTTGTCCACTTCAGCAATTGCTGGAATCCTATTACAGGGAAGTCTCAATCCCACTGTTCCGAACGCTAATCCTTTTCTTATTCTCTGCTCCTTTTCATGCCCTGACGTAATCTCGTGTTGGGCTTTTATGGCAGCGCGCGTGTTCAACGCTCCCTTCTCACGTGTCACCTTCCTATTGTCCTCAAATATCGACGGTTACTTATCTCTCTCGTTCGCTCAACCCTGCTATTCGCTCCATTCTTGATTTTCTATTTTCCTTCGCTTTCTCGGGAAACTTACAGAGGAAAACGAAAAGCAGGAGGAGAACAAATGTTATTCATAATTTACTTCTTGTTCTTCTCTCTCGGTCAATGTAGTGTTGATTTTGACGTATTGTTGTCTTTCAAAGACTCTGTTTTTGACCCTTCAAACTCGCTTTCCTCCTGGGTGAACTCATCTAGCCCTTGCTCTGATTCTTGGTATGGTGTTACATGCAACCCTACTACTCACCGAATCACAAGACTTGTTCTTGATAACATGAACATTTCTGGGTCGACTCAATCATTGAGTCAGCTTTCTCAACTAAGACTCCTCAGCCTAAAAAATAACCGCCTTTTCTCTTCCTCCTCTTTTAACGTCTCTTCATGGCGTTATATAAGGCATCTTTATCTCTCTGGAAACCACTTCTCTGGAGTATTCCCGACCGGAATATCCACTCTCAGGCGGCTCCACCGGCTCGATCTTTCACATAACAATTTCCACGGCGGGATTCCAATGGCAAAGTTGACTCGATTGCCTTTCTTGTTGACTCTCCGCCTCGAGTCCAACTCGTTTTCCGGACCCCTCAACTCAATTGCCTTATCTTCTTCCATGTTAGACTTCAACGTTTCGAATAATAAGCTCTCCGGCAAGATCCCCACTTGGATGTCTCGTTTCCCTGCCTCTTCCTTTGAAGGAAACAAGGACCTCTGCGGGCAGCCTCTGCCGTCCGTTTGTTTTAATCCAACGGCTCTTCCTGCGCCCTTAAAACAAAGGATGCATCATCCCGAAAGCAAGAGGTTAAGCGATAGGGTGGTACTGATGATCATCGCCGTCGATGTAGTGGCGGTGACAGCCGCGCTGTTTACTATCACGTGGTGTTGCTGCCGGTACAAGTGTTGTTCTGGTGGAGCCCACAAGGGAGTTCTACAAGCAAAAAGTGGGTCCAAATTGCAAAGGCGAAGTTGGTCCAGAAAACGGGAGGTCGAGGCGGAGGAAATGGTGGTGTTTGAAGGGTGCAAGGGTTTTATAAAAGTGGGTGATTTGTTGAAATCTTCGGCTCAGTTGTTAGGAAAAGGAAGTTTGGGGACCACTTATAAGGTGTTGATGGACGGCGGTGATGTGGTGGTGGTGAAAAGAGTACGGCAGAGGAGGAAGAGGAGGAAGGATGTTGATGGGTGGTTGAGAGTAATGGGTGGGCTGAGGCATACTAATATTGTGAACCTCATAGCATATTATAATTCCAAGGATGAGCTGCTTTTGGTTTATGATTTTTTACCAAATGGAAGCTTGCATTCTCTCTTGCATGGTTAGTACTTTGGTGCAATTGCATTTAGGTTGCCATAAATTTTATCTGTAATAAATTTACTTTGTCTTAATTTGTTCTTGCAGGAAATAGGGGACCAGGAAGGACGCCTTTGAGTTGGAGTACGAGGTTAAAGCTAGCCGGAGGGGCTGCACAAGCCCTAGCATTTATCCATGGTTACAGCAAAGCCAAGATCTTTCATGGACACCTTACATCATCAAATATCATAGTTGATCGACAGGGCAATGCCTGTATTTCTGACTGTGGTCTTCACCAAGTTGTGCATGCCACATCTCTGTCAAACGATGACTATAAAGCTCCGGAGCTCATGCTCAACAACGGTGAAGATGGTGGCCTTATGAGCAAGTATACCCAAAAATGCGATGTTTATAGCTTTGGGGTGATCTTGTTGGAGATATTGACGGGGAAAATGGTGAGTGGAGAAAGTGGGATGAGTTTGGTGAAATGGATTCAAAGCGTGGGAAAAGCAGAGTGGGCGTGGGAGGTGTTTGATTTTGAGATGTTAGGGGACAGGGAGATGGAAGAGGAGATGGTGGATCTAATGCAAGTGGCGTTGTTTTGCGTGGCTTCATTGCCAAAAGATCGTCCAAAGATGAGCATGGTGCATAGGATGATTGAAGATGTTAGGACTAAGGGTGCAAGAAATGGTGGGACGATTTGTATTCTGAATGATTTTTCCTCTGATTCTTCTCCTGCTCTATCAGAAAGAACTATTAGCTTCAAATAGGGAAAACCAGCATAGCATTAATAAGTTTCATGAGACAGAAGAGGAAGGAGATAGTAATGATAGAGAAAGTCCTTTTTTTTTTTCTTTTTTGTTTTTTGGGTCTGCATTGTGAGATTAAAAACATTTGATTGGATTGCATTCCTTTAGACAGTTTCCTAAATCCAAACAAATGGATCAATATGGTTTGATATGAATGTGATATCAGTCATTTAGTAATTTTTCACTGGAAACAGTACCACGTGGGACACAAGATGCTAAGGTGCTAGTCGTTACTGAGGCACAAGATGGTGTCACACCATAGAGGAACAAGAATCTAAAATCAGATGCCTCAAAACAATGGAAGAGTGGTCGACCAAATCTTGGCATGCCCCCCTGTCCAATGAAATTGCTAATCTGCTGAAATTACTACAGTATGACTTGTTTATGAACTTTGGTAGGAGACACAAGAGGTACCTGATTGGGGCCATGCTGAAATCCTCAAATATGGTTGAAAGCTAGAAGCTGAATTGAGAAAATCTGAGAACCGGTTAAAATGGCTGAAAATGAATACGAAAACGAATACAAAATGGAATGATGCAGTTTCACACGGTGTTGTCGTCTTCTGGCATGCCTGGAAAGCCATTATTTCCAATCCAGGGCGGTGCCTGCGGGCTGGCTTTGGGGTCCAGTGGCTCGCGTTTGCAATCTGCCAAAGAGAAATATAGCTTTGCTCTGTATTCCGGTGTCAAACTAAACCATTGGGCATTGGCTTACTGCGTGGTCCTTGTAAATCTTTTACACGGTTACATTTCTTTTTCTGCGTAAAACTGGTCTTTATTTCAACACCAACTTGAATTTTACTCCAATCCAAAGAATCCTGGCCTTCCAAGGGAAAACCCGAAGACTTTTACTCATATAAATCAAATTGAACTAGTGTAATACAACTTTGAGTATGCTCCGTAAATTTATGCACAATTTTCTAACCATATTAACAGTGTAGAGAAAGACACCAAAAATGAAGACTATAGTGCTACTCGCGGATTTTCAAACTCATCTATCCCTTGCCATTTGTAAGAGTCAACAGGGAAGCAGCATCCTTGAGGTCATGCTTCGGCTCATGTCGGATTGACCCAATCTCTTCCGTCGACACAAGTTTGTCACTGAAATAAAAGCATGTTTTGGATTGTCAATTGAAGCAGCATTAAAATGAGAACAATGATTCATTCATTTAGAGATGCGTTATTTAACTCAGAAAACCTGGCAAGCTATCTATATATATGCTCAATCAAGCCAAACTTGGTTCACAGAAATATGTTGCCTTGATGCGTACATGGATCTACATATAAAGAAAGACCTTTGGGAAATCTTACAATCCACTGTAAACTAAAATATACTTATCTTTACAATTACGGGGGCCTCAAGCAGATTGACATTTTCCTTCATGCGCAGAGAAAGCTTATATAACATCTCCTAGCTGCTTTACTTTCTAACCTGGTTCAATCATTCTTTGCAAGTAAGTCCTAAACTAGAGCAGTTAGAAAAAAAACCTTAGCCTCTACCAAAGTCATGGTACATTGCTATGCCATGTATACACAAGGGAGTAGTCATCTATATATATTTCACAAGATTTTGTTTTAAACTCTTTGAAGAAACACAAGTATGTCCAGCAGGTTGCAAATGTTCTACTCTGGATGTATCTTTCAATACATTCAAGCTCAAAAACAGAAACTTAATTTTGAAGGGCATTGCAATTAGTTATTCTATTCAAAGATTAAGAATACTACCAAACTTTACTAGGCAATTTTATTAAAGCATATGAAATTAACCCTGGAATGTGTTGTTTTTAACATATAAACCCATGCTTTTACAATCTTTAATGTAAGGTTGAACCGTGTTACCAATAGCAAATGGCAAAAAATTGTTCTCCTAACAAATTCTCCCATTGTAATCCAATCCAAATATGCATTTTGAAAGAAGAAGAGGAATGCAAATGCTAACAATAAATAAGAATAACCGAAAAACATCAATTACCAATATTGCAATAAGTCCTTGCGACCACTCAAAATTCCTTTTATACCAACTTAAAATCACATACACAATCAGAAAAAACTAGTATTTTTTTTGTAAACTTGAAGAAATTTTATGAATGGAAAAGCAGAGATACAACTAGATACAAACCACTAAGTCAGTGTTGCGAAAGACATCAGTCTTAGCTAGAGAATCAGCGAAGCGGTTTGCTTCCCTAAGCACATGGAGAAAAGTAATTTTCTTGACCCTAGTAACTAAGTTAGAGAGCTTGTTCAATAGGTCATTGTATTTCCATGGCCTTTGATCGATATTGTTGCTCCACGAGATGATCACTTTTGAATCACTTTCAATCAAAAACTAAAGTCATTTTTAACTCAACTATATGAGATAAGAAGTCCACTGGTGCATACATATGCATTCTGATTATATATTACTAATAACATGCCACTACATTTCTTTACATACAAAGATAACTTTGGATGATTGAAAAATCATTACTACAAACTAAGTTAGTTAGTTGAAAATTTCTCAAAAAAAAGTGTGAACATTTCCCTTGATATGGAAAGGAACTCATATGTGAGATGTTCATTTTACATCGGCACTTAATACTAATTGAAAAGTGCTAGTAATAAAGAATAGCAATAGCTTGTATAGCACAAACCTGCATTGAATATTCGACCCTTTGGAGTCCAAAGGAAACGCTCCGGCTCCCTTGTCGTCATACACAGCAAGAAGCGGCTTGATATCTTCATCTACATCTGACAAAGCCCGTTTATAAAGCAATGGAACAAGCGACGCCTCCGATTCAACTTTAACGGAATTTGGATCAAACACATTATAAACTGGCGACAAGGACGAAGAAGCGGCATAGCTATCCTGAAAAATGTTTCCCTCTCCTCCTTGGCAACGATGGTCATGAACAGACAAAGCATCATACATATTAAAACCCTCCAAACCCTGATCATCAATAGCATTAACCTGTTGCTGATCATCATCTACTACTTGAACCATCATATTCATTTGCTGCCCTGATTGCTGTTGGGTAGCCGCTGCCTGGGCCTTACAAATGGACAGCTGATAGCGCACAAGTTCAAGCTCAGACTTATACCAATCTATCTGAGTTTGTAACTCAGAAATAATGCGGTAACAACCACCAACAGGGTCATTAGCCCTCGTGTTTGCTTGAAAGATAATGGATTTCATGGCAATGACTCGCTGCTGAGGATCGAGTTTTTCAATTAATTTGGTGATATTCCTGACACCGAAAAGTTTGCGAGTGTCAAGGAAATCTTTGTGGTTACTGGCAGGGAAAAAAGGAGCCAAGGGACAGTTAGGAGTGCATTTCTTGCGTTGGTATTTACATACAGCACAAGCTTGTGAAGCTGCGGAGATGTTGGTCCCTGCGGACCTTTGCATGTTTTTCGTTTGGTCCTTTTTAAGAATATTTAGCCTTCATTGCAGGGTTTCAGCGCAAAATATTCGCAGGAAAAGAGTAATACCAGGAACAGATAGATACAGAGAACCTCCACGAATGAAAATGGGGGCTTCAGCCGATTTATTCTGCTGGAGAAAAATCAGGGACGTGTTACTCTACGTGTTATTATGGGTTTTTAATTTTTTAATTTTTAAAAATGGGTTTCAAAATTTGAAGATTATTATGATAATTATATATATTTTGGGGATAATTATCTTATTTCCTTATTTTTCAATTATGAGGACTCTGTTTATTAGTTGCTTTTGTGGAAAATTGTCATTTTTCAAGCGTGGAAAGGGCTTCATTTTACATCCTTATTTAGTTAATTAGCATTTGCTCACAAAATTTTATTCAGTTTCACTAATAAATTTTCATTTGTGTAAAATTAGACTAAACTTTTAAAATTCTTTTTTTATAGATTTAAAGTGTGAAAAAAAAAAAGAAATCGATCTTCGTTAACAATAATATGATATATTAATAAATATTCGATTCTTAATTTCGATTATAATTCAATCTTATTTTTTTTAATAAATTATATTTATGGGTAACATGGGAATATATGTGATAATAGGTAAAAAAAAAAATTTTTTAAACATATAATATTGAACTACACGATTTAGGTTACACAATGAAAAATGGTTCTATTTCATCTATAAATCCTGTTTATTTTGAGATTCAAATTGAAAACTCTAGAATGATGTCTTGAGTCTTAAGTTTTAACCAGAATTTTATTAATTTAAAAAATTCAACAGAAGAAAGTTATTTATTTATTTATTTGAATTGAGGAAGAGAAAATATGAATTTCATTCGTTGAAAAAAAAAAACTTCTATTTTACCTATTATTGAATTATATAATTGGATGTATTAGGAAAAATCATCTTATGAAATTTTTATTGCAAGATGGACCAAAAATATTTTTAAGTGAACCCAATAACAGTATATCTTTTGCGTGCTTTTGACCATTTCATGTATTGACTGATACGGAGCAATTGGTCCAATTATCATGTGAGCCCGTATATTTCCATTTAAGGAAGGGAATAACTAAAATTAAATCGAATAATTTAAAATATAATACAATGTTACATATAAATATAATATAATTTAAATTTTTAATAATTATTATATATAAATTTAATAAAATTAAAAAATTTATTTTATATTTTTATATCGATACAAATAATGATGCATAATTATTATATAAAATATAATAAAAATTTATAAATTTTAATATTTTCTCGATACAAGTATGCAAATTATCAAGAATAACTAAAACATACCTAGACTTCAATCCTACCACCCACTCTAATTTGGTTATAAGTGTTTTAAGAACCAAGCATGCATTAAAATTTTATTTTTGAAATATTTGAAAAGAAATCCAGACAAAAAAAAAATTCATTTCTTTAACAACCAGATTGTTTATTGTTGTTTAATGGTCCCAAATCACAACACTCCAATGTAACCACTGTTCACAGATGTGAGATGCCCGTTAAGGATAGGAGGGTTGGGTTGGGGTCCTCTCCACCCAAAATCACTCACCCAATAGTGTTTTTCATTGGCTCCTTCCCAGGCTTCAGAGCCCTCCCTTGTGCCAACTAAACTGTGGCTAATTACACGTAAGAGGAGCCAGGTTGGCAACTAAGAGGAGATGTTCTAATGCCAAGCAGGCAATGGTCCTTTCAATGTCCACTTCTCCAAATCAAATTGTCTTTTTATTGATGGAGAATACAAATCAGAACTTGACAATTGGGTAAATTTGGTTGAATGATACAACAAATCGGAAGTTGAAAACCACTTAAATAAATGCAATATTTCACATCCATCAGCCTGCAGGAATCAGTAGACAAATTTTAAGACCTAATCCTAAAAATATGAGCTGGTTCATAAACATGCAGCTTAGCTATAAATAATTGAAGCCTCCAATCAATGACAAAGATGATTACACTGAAACCAAGGATAAGCACCCGCAGATATCAATGGAAATGAAGTTATTATAATCAATTTATGGTAGGAGAAAATAACTCCAGCAACAAGACTTGGAGAGCTTCACAGTTTCCATCTCACCCATGAGTGTTAACCGCTTCCCAGACTAGGTTCTTTGGAGCTGCATTGGTGAGATCCCTAGCCTGCAAGGCTGCTGATCGAAGAGTCCCAATTGTCATTGCATTAGCCTTCCAAAATGATGCAGCATTGTATGCCAAATTGTGTTTCTTGCAGAGCTCCTTAACGAATGGGGAAATTTTCCTGAGATGGCACCGGGGCAACCTAGGAAACAAATGGTGCTCAATCTGGAACTGCAGACCACCATGAAACCAATCCATCCAAGATGAGCACAATATATTAAGTGTCCCATCAGTTTGCTTCTCAAACCAATCGTTTCCACTAGGCGGTCCAACATAAACACTAGATGAAAAATGATTTAAACAGAACTGAATGTGTTGAATTCCAGTTACTGAAAAACTGGCAACCACAAACATCACTCTCTCACCACAATTTGGCAAGCAAGAAACAAGTAGCGGATACCAGGTCCAGAAAACAAGAAGCCCCAAAATCTCCTGAGCCCTATTTGGTACCTTCCTCTTAGAAAGCAACAATAGGAAAGATTGTGCAAATAGATTAATCCTAGCAAAACACATTACAGGATAAAATGTCCAATGCTGGTAACTTACCAAGAACCTAGTAACAGAATCAAAATTCATCTTCCTTTCATAGAAATAAGATGTAAGCGAATTAAAAAACTTTGAAGATACCGTGAACAATGGCATGTGTTGAAGATCTGGATCGAAATCAAGACTGTTACAAGCAATGTGATGAGCATTGTGGGTCCATTTCCACCAAGCAATACTGATCCCTGCAAGGCAATTCCCAGTAAGGATCTGAGCAAACCTATTGAATTTTCTGTTAGACATAACCAGGTAATGCCCAGAATCATGTCCAATCCACCCACTCTGTATCCACAAGACCCCCATCAACCCACCAGAACAAAGATGCACCCAAGCACTGTTGCAACATAAAACACCATAGACGCTGAAACAAAACAACAATGCTATGAACCAAAGTGAAATGCATGCTCCGTGTCCTTTCTTTTCAAAAAGACCCATCTTTGAAAACTCGGCTGCAAGTTTTCTATAATCTTTGGATACCTCCGAGACACAGTAATCTTTGAGATAGTACCCAGTAAAGAACTTGTCAAGATATTGCCAAGTTATGCCTGGATGATAGGCTACAAACGCATCAGTGGCATCTTGGCCAGCCAGATTCAGCAATGGAAGTGCCCCTCCAGGGTGGTCGTGACTCCATTCCGTGACATCATAGATCTTGCCCTGTATAGAGATCCACAGATCTCCTGGTTTTTTGTGGTTTTCAAGCTCTGTTTGAGAAATATACCTCCTTGATTCTGCCATTGATGCAAGAAATGAACAACCAAAAAAGGGATCTGATTTTCAGTGTTTCTCTTCCTTCCCAGGATATGAAAGGAAGAGGCTTTCTAGTGTGGAATGATTATGGTATGAGAAAGAAAGAGGCTTTTTTGGGTTGGGTTTTCTTTCAATATATGAATGATAATGAATGACTAGTTCTCAGCTTTTTGTCTGGTTTTCGCTTTGCCTAGGCCTTTAGGGATGTGAGAAGGAAGTGATATCATGATATATAGGAGGCAATGGGAGGTGGGGTTTATCCAGACAAGCAAGATATAGAAACGGCACAAAATAGTTTAAAACTTTAAATTAAACAATAGAAAGCTAACAGGGGCGGGGGTTAAAATATCTTGGTCTTGGTGGGCAAGAAGAACATTGAACATTTTCAAAACAAGGATGAAATTGACAGGCTAAAGGGAAAAAAGTGGGCAAAACTCATATTTGCTTAATCAATGGAATTTTGAGTTAAGATTGGGTTAAGATATGAAAACAATTCTATAATAAAATCCCCCCTTTTTTTGTTTGGTTTAAAAACAGGACACTGCATTAATTTTAAAAATAATTCTTTTAAATTAACATAAAATCTCATATAAATACATATATTCAAACTTTTTCAATGTGAAAAGACCAATCCTACATAAGAATAAAATGCCTTATTAATTACTCATTAGGTGTTGTGACTTGTGAGCAAATTTTGTAAAAGGTCATGATCGGGTATAAATTATCATAAGTCACTCATATATAAGATTGTGACGGGATAAAATTGTTAAAAGGAGGATAAATCTCATGTGTTAAGAAAAAATATCTCAATTTCAAATATTTTATTGGTTAAGATATATGCTAAATTACCTATTTAGGGTTGTCCTTCTGGTTCTGACGATGATGAAAAATTTTGATGTATTATTTTCGATATTAATAAAATATTTTTTTTATTCAAGAATCTCAAGTGTCGACTTGATATGCTTGCATTTTACCTCGATATGTTTATATAGTTGTGTACGCTTAAAATTAACTTATGATTTGTTTGTTAACTATTCAATTATTGAACTATTCTTAGTTGATTTATGTGAAAGCGTTTATCTAAGTGTCACACGATCATTACTTTATTAAAAAAAAACATTGTCCGTGACACTAGGCATGTGATTTTCCTTTGAAATCAACTTAAAAAAAAAAAAGTGGGTAAATAAATAAGTTTAGACCGTAGGAGAAACAAAATTGACTTGGAATAAGTCCTAAACCTAATGGAATTTATTGTTCAAAACTTACCCATGATACTCAAAATAATTGTAAGGCTGGTGTTGTTGAGTTTATTTTTTGAAAGAAAAAAAAAATGGAATTATTGCATTATACTGCAGAGATAATGGTGCTAAGTTTGTAATCAAGCCATACATTGAAATGATTGCAAATGATGAGTATTTGGGTGAGAATTGTTTTCTTAGCTCTCTCCTAATTTATCATTGATAATAAAATTTCATAATCTAAACATCAAATTCAATCTATTATAAATGAAAAAAATCCAACTTCAATATATAAAATTACAAAAAAATTTATAAATTTCAAGTATGTGAAATATAACCTTTTTAATTACTTAAGTTTGAATTCACTAAAAAATTTAAAGTTGTAGAAAAATAAAATTTTATGAATTCACAAAATTTAATATAAATAAATTTATTCGAATCAATTCAAGAAAGAGATGTGCTCAATAAAATTAAAAAGATTTTTTACCCAAAAAAATACATTTTAGTAATTAAGAGAGATTTGTGTCTGTCTTGATGCAGGAAGTAGAAAAACTTAGGGAAATGGAAGCGTATAAATAACACCATTGTGCAATAGTGTTATATAATAAGTAATAAGAAGAAAAAAAAAAAAACACATACGAAGCTTCCAAGGTTTCGAGTATTTTAAGATTTGGACTATGGAAATTTCCCATAGTTTACTTTTGGTGATAGGAAATTTCCAATAACGTGGCAGTTCTGTGATATACGGACAGCTTTCCAGCTAGCTAATTGTTACTTCTTCCGTCCACCTTGCTGGTAATAAACAGTCTTGCATCTGATCTTTTGTTGCCATTATCTTTTTATACACAAGTATATTAAATTTGGGTCAAATTATTCTGTACGTCCCTCAACTTTAGATAAAATGTAGATTTAATCCTTTTACGCTAATTTCAATCTTGCAAGTATTTCTGTTTTTTGGGAATTTTAAAATTCGACCCACATATAAATAATGTTAAAATTCTTCGGTTAAAATTGATGATATGTCCATTCAGCATAATAGATGTTGATTTGATGATATGGCATTATTTTCGCTGGCCACGTGGCATATCATCAAATTAAGTTGGTTATAATCTAATGATAAGATTGTGATAAAATACTACCTAGATGTTAACTTGGTTAATCAAAGGAGAAATTCTCGTTCTTCGTTAAACTCAAATTAAATTTTTATGTAAAATGTTAAAAGTTAAATTTTAGATGCATTAAATGAGAATATATTTTTAAAATTATTTTATCACCATGTACGATATACAAATTATTTTTATTTATTTAAATGTATATAAAAATATAAATTAATATTATTTAATCACTTACATATATAAAATATAAAATATATATTATAATTAAGACATCAAATCATAATAAAATTGATTATTAATATCTTTTGAATTTTAAAAAAAATTATAATAAGCGATATTTGTGTTTTTTAATTAAAAAAAGATTAAAGTATTATAAAAAAAATTATCAAAGTAAAAATATCTATTTGAAAATTTTAAATTTAAAAAGAAATATCTCTAGGTAAAATTTTAATCAAATAAGATTAATTTTTTTAAGATTTATATTTTTATTACTACTTATTGAGATTTTTATTTAAAAAAATCATAGAGAATTAATCATAAATAATTTGGGTAAAATTTTATTTTTTAAAATTTTGATACTTAAATTTAAATTATGTATAACATATATTGTCTATGTGTTGAAAAAAAGAAAATATCTAAGTATTCATGTAGCAAATTTTATTAGATATCTTTGTATGTTGAAATATTATATATATTATATATATGATTATTTTAAAAAATAATTAGATTCAAATACAAATTGGAAATAAATAGATAGTATCAAAAAATTATAGTAACATTTTTAAATGTCAAATTTGATTTGGCATAAATAATTTAAATTGAAATTGTTATCCATTTTAAATTGCAATAAATTGCTACTCCAACCTTGTTTTAAAAATTTTCATTGCAAAAAATGGCCCAAAAAATACAATAATTGGGCAGCCCAAACTATATTAACATACTTCCAAGCCGGTCTAGCCCACATAGATAAGCCTGTTCCCTAACATAAAGAACAGGAAAAAAAATGAACCGGAATCGGGTTCTTGTCTTCCATCATTGCAAAGCAGAGAGGCCGAAAAGAAAAAGAAGAAAGAAAAGGTTGAAGAAATGGCAGAGAAACCTCAACCAGTGAAAGTACTATATTGTCCCATATGTTCTCTTCCTGCAGAGTACTGTGAATTCGGCCCTGATTTCGAAAAGTGTAAGCCTTGGTTGATCAACAACGCCCCTGAGCTTTACCCACATCTCCTTAAAGGTTCGAATTTTTTGTTAATCCCATGTTGTTCTGTTTATTTGCAGATGAAACTAACAATAAAGAAGATACGTTTTTTTTTTTTGTGGGTTTGTTTGTTCGTTTTTGTGTTTTAAATTTGGTTTCTTTAGAGTTGTTTTCTGATACGAGTGATGAATGAAGAGAAAATTCTCTGCTTTTTGCTATTATAATATTTCTCATTGTGTTTTAATGTGATTTGAACACCCTCTTACTTAAAGTTTTGATTGGGTAAGAGAAGAAAGGATTTTTTTTTTTGTTTTTTTATACGTGAGCTTCTTATAATTTTTTATGTTCAGAGGCTGATGAAAAGGAGGCCGAGAAGGTTTCTGAACAGCTCCAATCAGTTGGTATTTCCTCTGGTGCTGATGGGGCCGCATCTTCAGCTCAACCAGGTTAGGATGACTTCATCTTGGGAAAATTTGATCGCAAATAATGTCTTCAGAAACATTTTCATTCTCACATTTCCAATGTTTGATCACAAAGATGTTTACATTTTCATTTTTCAGGTGATACATCATCATCTAAGCAAGAAGAAGTAAAACGTCTTCCTGGTGGAAAAATAAAGAAGAAAGTAAGGCTCTTTTTTTTCTTTTCTTTGGCATTATATGCATAAAACATTCATAGTGTATTTTGAAGGTTTTGATCCCCAATCTTTAAGTGTTGTTGATATGAATGCGCATGATTCATGTTCTAAATCATGTTTAAATAGTTACGTTCTTTTTCAAAGTCATTGCTTGTTGGCCTTTACCTACAAGATTCTTGTTTATTATTAGGATATTAGACTAACATATATTGCCTTCCTAATTTTCCCTGCATTTTTTGGTCATATAAAAGGAGAAACAAGAAGTTGTTATTGAAAAGGTTGTACGTAACAGGCGCAAATGTATCACCATTGTGAAAGGATTGGATCTATTTGGTGAGCCTCTTACTGATATGCCTCTTTGCATTTCACATTATATCTTTTTCATATCCTGATTAGTTTTTTCCCAAAACAAGTTAATTTCTGATGATAAGAAATTATTTCAGGAATTAAGCTTAGCGACGCTTCCAAAAAGCTTGGAAAGAAGTTTGCCACTGGAGCATCAGTTGTAAAGGTATATAAAAGTCATATGCACTTGTAGTTGTCATTCAATTATTGGTTCTTTTTCTACCAACTTTTTGATGATTGATTTCCTTTAGGGGCCAACTGACAAGGAGCAAATTGATGTTCAAGGGGACATAGCATACGATATTGTGGAATTTATTACAGAGACCTGGCCTGCTGTAATTTCTTTAATCATCTCATTTACGTTTCCTTCAATATGAAAGTTCTTCATATGAGATTATGGAAGCATGATTGTTTGTTTTCTTTGTTTTTGCTATTAAAAAGAACTATTCTCTGCTTTTACACATGGAAATACAATTCAACATGAAACTTCCCCTATTCCTAGTTAGGTATAGCTTGACGATAAAAAAATGATCCTTTATTGCCTTGAAAGTGAGGTTATATTGTTCATTGCTAATGCTGAAGCATATTCAATATAGTTATACACCCATATATATATATATATATATATATATATATATATATACATTTAATGCATGCCTCCTTGCCAGAAGAGATGGCATTGCCATTCTTTGGAATATTCTACTGAATTTTCTTAGGACGCCTTACCAATATATTTTTATATTTGAAATAATAAGTCATCATGTTCCAAATATTTTCACTCTCTCCCTCTCTGAATTGAATCTTCTGTCTCTGTTGTGCCCTTTCAGGTGCCTGAAACTGCTATTTTCTTCATCGAGGATGGAAAAAAGGTTGCAGCTGCTTGATTCTAGAGTTTGGAGATGAACTTGGGGCTGAGCTTTTACTGCACATTGATGAGCCAGTTTTGCTTTGACTGGACGTCGCATCTATATGAATAGTTGGATAATTTTCACCAAACCTGCTACACCTTTAAGAAGAAGTTGTCATTTCAGGGATTAAATTGTGTACAACTGGAGCATTACTCTTCACTGGCTTTGAGACATCATGCTGCTTTAATAATTTTGGTTTGCACCATAATCTTTTACATATAACCAGTGTTTTTTTCTTTGGTGGGCAAGCACTAAATGTTTGTTTTTGTGTGAATGATGTTGGAGAAAAAGAAAGTAGATTGATAGAGAATATCTTAGCACTAAATGTAATGGACCTGTTTTGAGCTGGACTTCATAGCAGGTGCTTTGGTGTATAAGATGAAATACGAGCTTTGTGGTAAATATGAATTGATTTTCCACTCTTTTCAATGCTTGTTCAATGCTCCGTGATCACAGTGGAATAGTTGGGACCGGGTACGAGGTGCAACCTTGGTCTTGGTTATGATTGTTTACATAGGCAGCTTAGCTAAAGTTTTATAAAAGGTGTTTATTTTTTTACTCAAAATTTGAGATTAAATGAATGTGAGACTTAAATTAATTAGTTTATACAATTATATTTAAAATTAACAGCCAACATATTTAAAATTTAAATTTGGCATTAAAATTTTTTTATTCTCAAATTATAATCTCTTTTATAAAAAAATTAAAATCGAGATTTCATTTTATTTTATAAAAAAATAAGTTTGGTTGAGGAGCGGGAGCCCATTGGTAATTGGACGGGGCTCCGTTTGATTTGTCTCTGACCCAAATATACACCCAGAAAAGTCTTTCACCTACGTATGGTAGATAAAACGAATATCCTCCCCCTTTGTCTTTTGATTCGTCCCGGTATGTATGGAATCCAAACCCCCGCCCCCCTTCCCCTCCATTTGTCACTTAAACCCGAAACAAAGGCCCCTCGTCTCCTCTTATCTCTAGTTTATGACAAACTCTTCTTCTTAACTTCATTTCTAAGATTTACTTCTCTCAAGGTAATCACTGTTCAGTTCAGCAAGCTCTCTATTTTTTCCTTTTTCGTTGTTATTGGTTCTTTTATATGATTATTGGGTGCTTAGTTTTTGTTGGTTATTCCTAAATGAGAAAGCTAACAACTTTTAAACTGTTGAGTGTTTAAGGTTAATATTTTTTCGAAGTGGGTTTACTAACATGATTCAGCTATGCAGTTTGAATACTTGATTTTTCTGTCCCAAATAGGAAATAGTGTTGCACCCAGGTTTTAGTATTAGCTTATAGTAATGGTGGTTAACTCTATGAATTGCCTTTTTATTGGATGAAACAAAAGCTTTCTTTTCCAACAATGCTGAAAGAATGGAACTTGAGCAAAACAGAAGTAATACAAGGATTTAAGTAGAGTGTGTTTTTGCCTGAAGCATGTTTCCCTGGATTTTGAAACTAATTTTGGACCATATTGGTATTTGGCAGGTGCATTTGCATATCGTTGGGCACAACCATACAGTAAAATGGCACATTTGTTGTCAGCTTCATGCTTGCTGAACATATCATCTAGCTACAAGTCTTACGGTCAACCTCTGAATCAGGTTCGAACACCACTTCCTACCTCTTTTACCATTCAGACTTCGAAATCCCCCTTCAAACGCCTTGTTTCGCAACGAGACAGGGCAGGAAGAAGTTATGTGGTTCGTGCAACTGCAGCCCCTGTAAGCCAAGAAGTTTCAGCTCAACCCCGGTCTGGTTCCAATCAGCCCCCAATGAACCTTCAAAGCCTCAGCGGGTCATGGTTATTGGCGGAGATGGCTACTGTGGTTGGGCTACAGCCCTGCACCTGTCCAATAAAGGTTATGAGGTTGCAATTGTCGACAGCCTTGTCCGTCGGCTCTTTGACCACCAGCTTGGTCTTGACTCCTTGACACCCATTTCCTCCATCCATAACCGACTCCATTGTTGGAAAGCTATCACTGGAAAGACAATTGAACTTTATATTGGTGATATTTGTGACTTTGAGTTCTTATCTGAAACCTTCAACTCTTTCCAGCCTGATGCTGCTGTCCATTTTGGGGAGCAGCGGTCGGCCCCTTATTCAATGATTGATCGATCAAGAGCTGTGTTCACTCAGAATAATAATGTGATTGGAACACTTAATGTTCTTTTTGCAATAAAGGAATTCAGAGAACAATGCCATCTTGTGAAGCTTGGGACAATGGGAGAGTATGGAACTCCGAACATAGATATTGAAGAGGGTTATATAACGATTACTCATAATGGGAGGACTGACACTTTGCCTTATCCGAAGCAAGCAAGCTCTTTTTATCATCTCAGTAAGGTTCATGATTCAAATAACATAGCCTTCACTTGCAAGGCTTGGGGGATCAGAGCCACTGATCTCAATCAAGGAGTGGTTTATGGGGTAAGGACTGATGAAACTTCAATGCATGAAGAACTCTGTAACAGGTTTGATTATGATGGAGTATTTGGAACAGCATTGAATCGGTTTTGTGTTCAGGCTGCTGTTGGTCATCCCCTTACGGTTTATGGGAAAGGAGGCCAGGTGAGAGTCCTCTTTCAAACCCACTAAAGCATTGATGCCCTGCTTTCTGTCTTCTGTTATTTTGTTTTCATAATAACTTAGGCTGTCTTTTAAGCTGTGATTCTGCGTTTGGAAGGAATGACTGTCCACTGTCAACTGAATTGGTTTTCGTCAACCTAATTGTACTTAGTCTCGTATTTTATTGATCACATATCTGGCACAGACAAACATCCTTTTTATCTGATATGTTGGCTTTGCCACGGTATACATTTGACAGAGACACAGGCACAGACACACACACACACACACACACACACCTCAGAAAGCCCATTCATTCAACATGCTAGATGTGTTACCACAGGCACATGAGACATGGATTTTTGTAATGCAGAAAATTTCTAGGTAAAGGTATGTTCAGCTATAATTAGAGGATGGCATTTTTCCTGCTTTTGTATCTTTCTCTCTCATGTTCTATTTATAAAATTCAGACCAGGGGGTACCTTGACATAAGAGACACAGTTCAGTGCGTTGAACTTGCCATTGCAAATCCAGCACAACCTGGTGAATTTCGGGTCTTCAATCAATTCACTGAGCAGTTTTCTGTCAACGAACTTGCTGCCCTAGTAACGAAAGCAGGAGAGAAGCTTGGACTTGATGTGCAAACCATAACTGTGCCCAACCCAAGAGTTGAGGCAGAGGAACATTATTACAATGCAAAGCATACTAAACTCATCGAGCTGGGACTCAAACCGCATCTCCTCTCAGACTCTCTCCTTGACTCATTGCTCAACTTTGCTATCAAGTTCAAGGACGGTGTTGATAGAAAACAGATTATGCCAAATGTTTCTTGGAGAAAAATTGGGGTGAAGCCACAGACTGTGCCAGCTAACTAAGTGGTCGACCGACGTAGATGTGAGAAGTTCTTGTCTATCTCGTATCTTTTTATCTTCATCGTTGGTGCTGTATTCCTTCCAACATTTTATGTTGAGCATTCTTTTCATGCCCTTGGAATCTAAACTTGGTTAAATTGGTTGAACATGAGAGAGTAATATAACTTGAGTTCTTAAAGAGTCATGAATATTTGGTGAGGGAAGCAGTGTGCTCTGTGAGCCGTTTTTGTATTTATTTGCTTATAGCTTGATAGGGTGAAAAGATTCAATAATTACTGTAAAATATTTCCCTAACTTACAAGTATCAATAACTAGTAATTAGAAGTGATTGAATATCCCCAATGTCATCCTCTTCCTTCTAATTTGCCCTGTGCTAATACATGAACTGAGGTTTCATTTTCTGGTATGGTTTGGTTTATTGTCTGATACGGTTCTGATTGATAACTCTATGGTTAGTTCAGTTCATTGTCCGATACGGATCTGATAACTACAGGGTCTGTTATTCACCTTCTATCAGATACATGTTTTGATAAAATTTAACTCCTTTTTTGCACGATTGTAAAATTTCGGGTATGTTTTTGTCTTCACGAACTGCCCTTATAAAATCAAGCACAACTGAAGCTAACTCATCTTGGTGTGAAGTATACTCATGATCAGCTCCTACAATCTAGTGCAGTTTATGATTTGGAATAAACCTGGCAAATTCCATGGCATCTTCGGCTGGTACAATTTTATCCATGGCTCCATGAATTTTCAATACCCCGAAAATAATGGTATCATGGTTGTAACACAAGCAAGAAATCTATACCACTAATCACATCTTTACTGAAGCTCACTATTCCAAATACAAACAATTGAATCTGATTTAGAGGATGGGGAATCAAAATTAAGTACATCATGAATATTTTTCTGCGGCAAGTGACATCCACATTAGAAAAGCAATCAATGCTAGCATTTTCTAACCTGCAATTTTGATTAATCAAACCACATCAAACTTTCCTGCAAATGACAAACAGAAATACTTGGTTTCAGAGAAAATGTTGACCACAAAATTGTTGAATGGAGGGTGACAACTGACAATGGAACTTTCACATAAAATATTGGGAAAATGAAGCATAATACAGTAGCTACCTTTTCTATTCTTAACATCAATAACCCCATTATGCTTGATTCTTCGTAAGAAATCTTTTCCCAAACGACCTTCAGTGCCTTTCTCTAGATGGAACCAGCCAGAAATTGATGACTATGGTACAACATTATACTTTGAAGCATAGAGAAGCACCACATTTGCTCCTGCAGGAATCCTTTTCAGCAATATAGAACTTAAAAAGAAGTGACAAATGAAAAAATAGAGTTTGATTATATTGATTCATATCCTTGTTGTATATTAAACAAACCTTTACTGTGGCCAATAATTGCAGTTGTTAGACGTTACTTGTTGCAGAAGCGTTGGACAACAGCTCGTAAATCCTCAGCTTCTCTGCTGCAGTTACCATAAATAAAGGAACCTTCACTTTCCCTGGAAGCCAAAAGTACAAATAGCCTTAAACCATTGTTTGTATCAGAAACAAGTAAATTGTAGTATTAGCATAACTCAGAAATTTCAAAATATTTTCTTGTACTCCAAGATTCTGAATCAAATTAAAAGTCTGGTTTTTCCATTCCAGTCATCTTCTAAGCCATTCCCAGAAAAGTCAAAAAGCACTGATTCCTTCTTTTTCTAAAGCAGTGAGAAGACTCATCATGGGTATGCGTTCCTAGACATAAAACACAGTTATATGAACTCTAAATGAACTCAGAAAAAAAAATCAATGTAATAATTTTATCCACCTTTTTTGATATATTGAAAGCCGTGGCAGATGATGACAAGATCCTTAGAACCTGTTTCATGTAATATTCCAACCAGATTCTCGCCATGGCTGTTTGGAATCACAATTCTCTGCTGTTCAACTGTTGCAAATTACATATCAATAGAATTACCCGTTGTGATATCAAGATTTAAAAAATAAACCCACAAACCAATCATGAAAAAATAAAGAAAAAAGAAAGAAAGAAAGAAAATCATCTTCCATCTTTCTTAATTATAATTTCTCTCAAAAAACCCATATCAATGAACTACTAACCTGAAGTCAAGAGGTCCATGTTAGAAACGCGCCGATGGAAGGTAAATCGAAACTCGTTAGTTAATGTTTAGCCCAAAGCGAAACTTGCTCCATTTCGACCGTTAAGCGCCAAAGATTTACATAAGACTACTAATCGTTTTTTTTTATTATTATGAGCGAAAACAATATTTTATTTATTTTATTTGGTTTTTTTTGGATTAAAATCCTGCCAGCCAAGCCTCAATGCAGAAACCAAATAATAGGTAATAAGAAAGACTAAATAGTAAATAAGTGATCAAAAGGCAATTTATTATTAAGGCTTTACAAACTAATCCAAAGGAGAGTAAACTTTTAAATGGAATATTATCACTGTATGAGGAGGAAACAATTTTCCAATACTCGAGTAAATTGCTACTTGCCATGGCGACATCCCGGCCATATATTTCAGCTACATCTTTCAGTCCATATCAGACACTAGGTTATACGTAAATAAACCCAGTGGCAGCAATCAGGCAAAGTTGCTAAAACTCAAAAGCTGGTGTTCATAAGAACAAAAAAGGCTAGTGAATATAAGCGCATTGAATTCGAAAAATAACTGCCCGGCAAGATGCCCTACCAGCCTATTGCATGCTAAGATCCAACAGGAGCAATGCCTTTGGCTTTAGCTGCGGCAGTTGCAGTGGCAGCTGCAGCAGCAGCCGCAAATGCAGCTGGACTTGGACTTGGAGGCGCTGGGTTGGACTGAGGTTCATTCTGTGTTGCAACCATCTGTTGATGCTGTTCTAGTTGTTGCTGCTGCTGAGAGTTGACCTGGGCAATCAGAGCCTTAATCTGGCTTCCTGTGAGCATCTTATACTCAAGCAATGCATTAGCAAGTGCAAGATGTTCTTTGCTGTGGGTGGTGAGGATGGTTTTTGCATTGTTATAAGCCCTTTCCGGTAAGAACTTCACTTCTTTCTCTATAAGAAGTCTAGTCTCAGTGCTCATGCTCCTACCATTGTCATTATAATGATGAGTAACAAGCCCCACTTCTTGACTCATGCCATACTTTGTAATCATAGTTCTAGCTAGTTCAGTTGCCTTCTCAAGATCATTGTATGCACCAGAAGTAACATCATTTTCTCCAAAGATGAGTTCTTCTGCAACCCGCCCCCCCAAGGCAACATCAAGCTTTGCAAGCATCTGCCTGCGGGAGAAGCTCATTTCATCCTTGTCAGGCAACAGGGACACCATGCCACGAGCCATCCCTCGTGGGACAATTGTTGCTTTGTGAACAGGAAGTACCCCATCAGCATAGATGGCAACAAGGGCATGGCCAGCCTCGTGGAAAGTTGTCAATTTCTGTACTTCATCAGAAATGACAGCTGACTTGCATTCACTTCCCAATATGATCGTCCTTTGCGTACTCCAGATCAGCCATTGTCACTGCTTTAGCACCATCCATTGCAGCTTTCACAGCTGCAACATTGACCAAATTTGCTAGATCAGCACCGGAGAACCCAGAAGTACCTCTAGCAATGGTCATCAAATCAACATCATCAGCCTTCAAAACCTGTAATGAGCAAAATGAATGGTTAGACATGCATGGCTGCACGTAATGATTCTACCAGAAAATATCATCAAGACCAATGATTATTTGATGCAACATAAACCTAATGTGAAACAGAAAAGACATGAATTAGAAGCATGTTTGAAAAGCTAATGTCAAGCCAAATTTTATGATACAAGCTCCAATGGGGCCTGCCAAGCACAATCCCCACAAAGTACTATCCAGAACCTGAAGAATCAGCCACAACTCCTAGAAGATGTGGACTACACAGTCGACACAATACCTTTGACATGTGGGATTCCATAATCTGTCTCCGTCCTTCAACATCTGGATAAGGAACAATAATGCGGCGATCAAATTGTCCAGGTCTCACCAGTGCCTTATCCAATGATTCTGGAAAATTAGTTGCTGCAATCACAATAATTCCATCATTCGGTTTAAATCCATCCAATTCGACAAGCAACTGATTCAAAGTCATCCTCATGTACTGCTGGTCCCTAGGATTACAGCTTCCACCTATGGCATCTATCTCATCAATGAATACAATACATGGTGATCGCTTCTTTGCAGCAGCAAATAGATCTCTCACTCTTCGAGCTCCAACTCCAACAAACATCTCTTCAAACTCACTGCCACTGCAGGAGAAGAAAGGTACACCAGCCTATCCAGCAATAGCTCTTGCTAACATAGTTTTCCCAGTGCCAGGTGGACCAACAAGCAAGATACCTTTTGGAAGCTTGCCACCAAGACGAGTGAAATGCTGCAAGAAGGATAAAGGCATTTAGAAAGAAAGAGAGGGAGAGAGAGATTTAGCAAATCTAAGAGTGCATTTACCTTAGGATCTCGAAGGCAGTGGACAATTTCTTATAACTCTGCCTTTGCCTCATCAACACCTTTGACTTCATTAAATTTTGTGTTAGATTCCACAACTTGCAGCTCTTCATGTAGACCAAGTCCTAAAACAAGGATATCAATCAGTAGGAATTCAGAAAAAGGATGATCGGTTTAAACATGCACATAGAGAATTTTAGAGAAAAACTTCTACGACTTTATCATTCTACCTTTACTAATCCCTCTATCCTCAATAAGTGCTCCAACACCAGAAATCAACAAGAAGCCAAGTGCAATACTACGAATAGTACGCCACAATTGATCTTTAAAATGCCCTGCTTCTGCAGCTACCATGTAGATAGGAGTACCAGCAGTTCCTAGTACACCATGTTTTGTAGATTTTCCCACATTTTGAAATGCAGAAAGGCCACCTATACTTTCTCCCTCCCTGGCTGAATAGCAATACCTGTAATTTTGCATTAATCTCTTAGTAAACAAAAATTCAGAAAGGTAAAGAGTGGAAATTGTTCAGAAAGAAAACGCCTAATAATAGTTTAACAGAGAATTTACGAGTACAATCAAGTTAAAAACTGAGTTCAAAGATTTCTTCAGCAAAATCAGGAAGAAAATTGCAAAACTAACATTTTAAAAGAAACTAAAGATGCAAGATAGCAAGACCATTCACCTTTTTGTAATGTCTTAAGTAACGGACTTTCATCCAGCCTGTCAACTTTGAGTAATGCTTTAACATATTCAGAAAGTGCAGAACGATTAGAATGTAATGATGGCTGACTTTCAAATAGTCTTATCACTGCTTCAGGATCATTTCTATAGTAAAGTTCTCTTAAATGAGCAACTTGACTAGCTTCATCTGCATCTCGGACACCGCGAGCTAAATTACCTACATAGCTTGCCTTGAACCTTTGTTGGCCACTCAAAAGCCTATTACCTGCACTCCAAGAACATATCACCTTATGCAAGACCGTTTTTGAATTGAGAACAAGGAAAACTAACAATGAAAGGGAAAGCCACGTATTTTTTGAAGAAAACAGAATAAAACTATGAAGATAATGATAGAATACAAAAGAGTGGCTAAATGCACCCCAGCCTTTTCTTTTCACAACCCAACTTTTTTTTTCAAATTTTTTTATAGGTGAAATTACTTAATTATCCTTATTCTTTCACACAAGTTTCCAGAAATGAATTTCGGGGAAAGTCATAAACGTTTACGGAAATGGATTTCTAGAAAGTCATATAACTTTCCGGAAATGGACTTCCGGAAAATTATATGACTTTCTAGAAATTCATTTCCAGAAAGTTATAGAGAATTGTGAGAAGGGTAATTAAGTAATTTTACTTGCAAAAAATTAAAAAGAAAGAAAGTTCGGGTGTAAAATGAAAAAAATAATGGTGGATTCAGCAGCACTCAATACAAAACCTTTGATTGAAACAAACATAAATACCAGAACGATGACTTCTACTAAACAAGTTTCCGAATTGTCCCAACTCCGATTGCTGTCTTGAAACCTGTTTTAAGATGAAGATGGAGCTTATTTGTTTATCTAACGAAAAAAAATTCAAATCTGTGTCTAACATACAACTTACTGGCTTGAGTAAGCAAGACCAACACACAAAATATTAACTAAGCCTTGCACCAATAGAATTAGTGCAAAAATTTACTACTTTTAACAATAACTCAAGCAAAACTACATTTACATATATGTAGATTTATGAAATGATTATTTCAATCCCTTAGAAAAAGCCTTAAGCTTTTATGGCAATAAAAGTCTCGATCAGTATAAGCAAAAAAATATCTTTGTTACGTCCAATGGAAATTAAAATAGAAGATTTTAAATTTCAATCCAACATTCTTTTAATTATATTGTCCACTAATACCTACCTCGGATTCAAGTATTAAATGCAAAACCTTTAAGTTATTCAAAATTAGGGTTTCCACAATTCCCAAATTTCAAAACTTTGTATCAAAGAATTCCCCAATTATATATAATAAACAGAGCAAAAAAGTTTTATATTAAAAAAAAATGATATTAAGACCTAGGCAAAACGAATCTTACAAGAGAAGGAAAGTAACCTGAGTGATTAGGCGTCTCCAAGCCATCCCGTTTACATAGACCCAAAAGGTCCAATCTTTCTATCCTTTCTCTCTCTCCGGCGGTGATGGGCGTGTTTGGTTGGCGAGAAAATAAAGGAACCGAGAATGTTCAAACAGGAATAATCTTAGGAGCGCGGTGAATCTTTGAGATCACAATCACTCAGGGGTGGTTTGGAACCTTTATCTTTTTTTCCGTTTCTAATTTTTTTAAATAGAAATAAAAATATGTTTGTTGAATTATTTTTGTTTTCTATTTTCGGAAATTAAAAATAAATTTTTTAATAGTTTTGAAAATTATTGAAAATAAAAAAAATATTTTCAGTTTTTAAAAATAATTTAATATTATTCACAAAAATTATAATTAAACAATATTTAGGGACGTAACTTTTTTATCAATAATAGAATAAAGATTGAAAAACAGATTACGAACTTCAATAAATAATAATAAAATAAAAAAATATTTTTATTATATAAATATTAAATTAATAATAAATAATATTATAATATATTAAAATTAACATTATATATAAATAAATAATATATTAATAATATTATTTTATTTATAATGAAAGAAACAAAAAAGAATTATTTTTTTTTCACATTTAAAAAAAAAGCATTATATTCAAATATTTTTCAAATTTAATAAATTAAAAATAAAATAAAACAAAACCTTCAAAATCATAAATATAAATATAAAATAAATACTCATCCATACCAAACAATCATTAACTTTTGCTTTGGTTTGGTTTGGTATGTCCCGTCTGTAAGCCGCAGTAACAATAGGAGAAGATCTGCTACACGAAATGTCAGATTTGCCCTTCCATTTTTCATTTTTTGCTGTTGATCCTTTCTAGTTTCAAACCGTTTTTTTTTAATCATCATGCATTTTTGTCAAAATGAACTGGATATTATTACGGGTTATGGTTCGAACCCAACGGATCCAAAATTGGGTTCCTTTTATAAAAAGAAATTATTTTTTTAGCCCAAGCAAAGGCTTCTAAGAGATAAAAAAAAATTTTTCCTTTTATTTTCAACATCTAAAATCCGTAATTTTCAAAATAAATCCAAACTTTCACCATTGACTTTGGTCAAAATATTCCATATTGTTAATTGATAAATAATATCACACACATAAATATATATTTTCAACGAGTAAATCACTTTATTATCTCATAAAAAAATATTATCATGCTTTGAGTATACATTTACGTTTTACATATTTATGTTAATTTACACGTCTCTTATATATTTACCTACTGAAAATAATTATCTGAAATTTACTTAGGCTTTATGATAATTAAGTTTAATTCAAATAACATGTATATTAATCAAATTATTACGAATTTAAAAAATTTTAAATAACATTCATAGTAGATAAATCTAACCACAAATTTAAAATTTATTTGGACTTTAAGAAAATGAAATTGATAAATTAGAATGTTGCATTTACTATTTGTGACATCTAATTTAAGTTATTAATTAAAACTTTTTAGTAGTAATTTATTTATAAATAAATTTTGTTAGAACTTATAAAATAATTATTTCATAGAATGAAACAAATTCCCAAAAGGAATTCCTTAAAACTCTCAACAAGCATATTTTATATTATTTATTTTTTCTGACAGCCTCCTAATATTTATCCAATTGTCTTCTCCTCCTCCAAACTGAATCCAAATCTTATTCATGGCATTGATCATTAAACCTTTATTGATTATGAATTTGAAAATGAGAAAAGACAAATTTTCTCGGTATTTTAAACCCCTTGTAGCCATTAAGGTATCAAAGGGCATCTCCTTTCGTCTTGTTTTAAAGACAATTCCTATGTATATAGATGAGCAGATTGAAAGTTGTTTTCCATATGTAAAACAATTAAACTGTAATAAAAAAGATGAAAATTGAAAGAAAGGGCTTGAAATATGAGGGGAATTAACATTGAGGAGGCTGCAGAAATCTCCAATTTTCTTTTAACTTAAAAAGTTAAAAGAACCACAACCTAACCTTGCCATGGTGTTTGATGCTGTTTGTTCTGTTGCCCATATGCTGAAGAAGAGTTTATACGATCAAGCCTGGCTAAGTTGGGGAAATCTCTATGAGGAAAAGCTTTAAGACCCAAGAAATCTCTTGTTAATATGTCATTCCCTCCAATGTTACTGCTAGTACTACTACTACCTCTACCTTCACGATCACTTCTGCTTAATTCGGATTCTGTTGTTTTTGAGAGATCAATGGTTTCTTGAAAATAAACTCTGTTTCCCTTTGTGTCCCAAATCCCATTGAAAGACTGTTCAAAAGATGAAGACCCGTCAAACCCGCTTATAGAAGATAAAGAAGTCATCATATCATGGAGTAGAGAATATTTAGGAGCTGCTCCGCCTCCAGCACCTGCAGTACTATTTGTTGCTGCTATTGCCTGTTCCGTGAAACCAGATGTGACATCAGCTTTATTCCCAAAAGATGCCAACGCATGTGGAAACCCACTTCCACGCTCTTCACGTGCGGACAGACCCAGACCAGAATCAGCTGCAGACGGGGCTAAAGATGTGAAACCAGTGGTTCCAGACATGTGGGCCTGTTGGTGATGATGTCTTTGCATGGCTACAGGTGATTGTAAAGGTTTGCTTATAGTCACACCCGTTTGAGCTGCTTTTTGCAGGAGTGCAGTGGCAGACATGTGTGGAGAAGCTGAGGGGGCCTGGAATGGAGGAAGTGTATTAGAACTAGGGTTTTGGCTAGGGTTTTCGTTCTGTGCCAGTGGTTGATCTAAAAGTAATGCTGATGATGAACCAGGACCAGCTCCTACTCCTCCTGGTGGGCAAGCTAACCATGGTGGAATGCTGTCTGCTGGTACTCTTGCATCGAAAAGATGATCTTGTTCTCTTTTCACTGATAGGGCATGGCTGTGGAGTTGGGTTTGCAGATCGGTCATATGTGAAAATGAAGAACAAGGTTGATGTGAGGAGAGAAGTACCGGGTTTGGAGCTGTAATTGCTCTTGCACTCTCCTCAGCTAAAGCATTGCAAAATGCTCTGTGCGTGATGAAACTGTCCCTCCTGGAACCACAAAAACAACCAGAAGAAAACAAAAAGAGCAACTTATCAGGGTCCAGGATAAACATTATAGTATTACCCTTTTCTCATGTCAACTTTTTGTATTCTCATTCTTTTTCTTCCCCGAGGACAAAAGACATATAGCAGATGTAATGTAACCACTAAAAGTTTCCTAATCTAAGCAGCACTGTGCCACTATGCTGTTGGCCATTAGCAAACTTGTGTTTCTTAAACAATTTGAAGTTAAAATCTCTCTGATCTCCAGGCCCCCTTTCTGCATTGTTCTCCACGAGGTTACTATTCTTTTACTAGTATTTATTTTTTTTAATGAACACGAGGCATGGTTACTTACTGTTATTTAATTTTAGTAGCAAACAGTGGGAAGGTAAGGATAAAATTGAAATCCATTTTGCTTTAGTAAATCATGTGAACCTGATACTGCAATATTCATCCTTTATTCCTCTCTATCTCTGACACACAGTGACGCTATGTGCATGCAGAAGAATGAAGAGAGATCAATCACAGGTCAAATTATGAAGATTGCGGATTAAGTCAGATTAACTTTATGATATGTTGTGTTTGAAGTCGATCAGTTAATTAGATGTTGTTCCTTTGATTTGTTACCTGGAGAAAACGGTTCCACAGTCACATCTATACTCTCTCGTGCCACAAATCTTGGAATGAGCTTTCCAGTCTGATTGAACAGCATAACACTTTGAACACTTTTCACATTTCCACTTCTTCTCACCATGCTTTCTGCAAAAGTGCTTCTTGATTCCGGTGAGGTCCCCAAGAGCCCTTGATGGATCATGGTGCACACATGTAGTCTCTGGACACACATATACCTTCTTTCTCACCTCCTTGTTTGTTCTTTGCTTTAGTTTCCATGGCAAGTTATGTCCTCTTCTATGAAGCTGAAGATTCTGATCTCTCTGGAACCCTTTGTTGCAGACCTCACACATAAACCTATTTGTTGCCAAGAGTGTCTTGGGAGACAAAGCTATGACTTCTGCATCTGGGTCTGATTCATATGTAGACAATCCACCCAAAAGGGGAAAAATTGAAACCCATATGTTAAAAGTAAATGAAAAGAAATTAACTTAGGCATGATAACCAAGTAGTAGTAACTGAGAATATGACACATATATGTAATTTGCTTTAATTTTCTATTTGAAAAATTAACCTGGGTTGCCTGGAACACTACTCTTCTTCTTTGGTGATGGTGCTTGATTTGTCGAAGAAAAAGACTGTTGTGGGTACAGTGTGCCAGTGTCAATTCTGGTGCCTGAAGATGCACTTACTTCTCCAGATGCTGAAGTCAAATTGGATATACTCTCATCCACCGCCAAACCTTTCATCATCTTTCCCCCTTATGTAAATAGATACTCAATTACTGGATATCACTTGATGACAAGCCTATAGCCCCCTCTACATATATATATATATATATATATATATCAACTTTATAATATATCTATGACTGAATGTCCTGAGATCTACTTATGAACCCTAATTTAGAAAGGCTAATAAAAGTGGAAAGTAATAAACAATGCAAGAAGAGTAGCTGATTTCAGTTTCTTCCTAAATCCCATTTCATTTTGCTTTGAATTTCTCAGTATCTTCCCAGTAATTCTTCCCCTATTTTTTTTTTAATTATTTGCTTTCATTTCCAGCAAGTTCTTGAAACTTGAATAGAAGCTATAAACAACAAAAGTTGATGTAAAATGAAAGGAACAAAGACTAGAGAAAGAGAAAAGGAATGAAAAAAATCAGGTTCCAAAAAAAAAAAAAAAAGAATCTTTGCTTGCGACAGATGCTAACACCAAGAAGATCAACGGCACACACAAACTTACAAATTGAACAAAAAAAAAAACAATTCCTACATAAATATAAACAAGAAACTGAAAAACGTGAGAGAAAGAGAGATGAGAGAAAGGGTGAGGTAAGAGAGAGATGTAGATGAGAAGAGATTCCTGAGCAGCACTCCACTCATCCAAAGCCAAAACCCAAACCCAAGCCAAAAGCCTTGTTTGTGATGTTGCACTTCCTGTCCTTTTTTCTGTTCTTTCTTAGTCTCACTACTCTTTCAGAAAAACAAAAATAAAGAGAATTAAATAGAATTCTTCTTTAAAATGAAATCTTGCTTTATAAAATAGGTTTTTTTTTTTTTTTTTCTGTCTTTCAACATAAAAAGTAGACATAAAGTAACCCAAATAAAATAGATAGTAGGATTTTGCATACTAAATTAAACAGATGCATCAAATGGTAGGGAGTGAGAAAGGGAGAAGAGACAGATGATATAAGCAAAGTTGATTACAGGCTTTTAACATGGTGGGTAAAAGAAGTCAGAAAGCAAAACCTCTTTCTCCTGTCAAGCTTACATAAACATGATTGGTTCAGTGATTGAATCCCAATTTCCAGCAGACATGCTCCTGGAAAACAGTTCCCAAGTTATTTAATACTAGTAAGTATATAAATTTTGCCTTAACATTCTTTCAAATGATTTTACTTTTCATTTAAAAAGCTACTAAATCCTATGGAGAAAAATGAGCAGTATATATAGAGGTTGGTCCCCAATATGCTGCCCAACCCATCATCACTTAAATTATTGTTGGTGAGAGAGAGAGAGAGAGAGAGAGAGAAATACATGACACCATGTTCATAAGGCAACATGAGGAAGATAAAGGGTACCCAGGGGCCATTTGAGTTAAAACTTAAATCTGCATTATGATAGTATATATTTAGATGGTTTTGATGCTGATGAACAGCTTTTGGTGTAGGCGTAAAGGTAGGATATACAGTATTGTGACTCAAATCAAGTGCAAAAATAAATATTAACTAATTAACTAAAATGTCAATTCATCAAATAATCATTTGATTTGTTTGTAAAGTATTAAATTTTAACAACATCATATATTAAAAAAATTATAGTTAAGAAGGTCGAGCAAACAAAAATGAGAAAATCTTGGTAAGACCCCACTCCACGCACCCAATATAGATCTCACAAGACACAAAACAATGTGACATGTTTTGGAGATACATTGTCTATATGTTTGTTTTATTCATGTTGCACAGTAGTTTTTTTGTCTTCACACTACCAAATGGGTCGATAAAAAAAGTTGTGTTTAATTTGTTATCATTTGTCATTTTCAGCTTTGACATTATTTATCTATTTGTTTACTGATTTCAGTTTAGCTGTACTACAGTTTGTTTCCACCATTATATGCTTCCATCCAGCTCATCATTCCCTTGTTTTTGAGCCTTTTAGTGATTTTATTATTATCCCAATTAATACCAACATTTGTCTTGTGCCAAGTCACAGATTCAACCAATTTATCCCCCGGGTGGATACATGATTTATAAGATTGTAAATATCTAACCTAAAGAAAGGGATGTATTCATGTGATTGATTCTCCTCGTGCGGTGAAAAGGCTTTGGCATGTGTTATAGTGTTGTGGAGGATGGCATCCAACATGCATATCTACAACCAGATGAAGATGTCATATCTCATTTCCTTTTCTTTTTTTACCATGTCATATCCAACTTTAATTCATCTCAACCGACATTTCATGGATGTCAAACAGATATGAAAAGAAAAAAGAAATTATTTATCAAAATTATATCTTCTTTCTTTTTATTGACTATGTACATATAAAACAGTGAAGGGTAAGATGTAAAGGCTGAATTGCTTGCCACTCTTTCTATACTCAGACCAAGAAAAATTTTACCATGGATTTCCAAAATAGAGAGCATTTTTAATTTGCAAATTTCCTCTTCTGAATCACTATAAATTGGGTATCTGGTCAAGTGCACTACTTTTGATGTAGGGTGTTCAATAACAGAAGGGAATATTGACAGACATTGACAGGAGATATTTTGAAGGGTCTACACTCTACACTTGCACAGGATATGAAAATATTTGGTCAAATGGCTCTTGGATAGTTATGGATAGGGTTCAATCAAGAACCTGAAAAAAAAAATCCCAGGGTTTAATATACGGTTGGTGGAAACCCTAGATATTGGGTTTATGGACAGAATTTTGGCTCCACAAACCCTGAAAATAAGTATAAGATATGGAAACATGGATCAATCTTATGGGTAGCATTTTGGTTCTACTAAGGTTAATCTTTTGATTCTTTGTTGGGGGGTTAAAAGTTTTAAATAAAAATAGAAAGTCAAGGTAAATTAATGTATCTTTCTGAAAAGTTGGCTGGGACCCTTTGGGACTGGCTGGTTTGGGGCTTTAGGTTTACAGCAAGAGCTGTGGTTCGTTCAGATGTGGACCAGTTATCCACATGGTTGAAGACCCACTTCTTTCTTTAAATCATATTCATATGTGTGCGTACGAGATAACTATAGCAAAGGAAATGATGAATTAAGGTTGGAAAAGAAATGCGACACATGGAACAGAGAATGAAATGATGAAAGAAATGGAATAATCATTCCTGCTTTTCCCGTATTCTATAGACCTGGAGAAATTTGGGAAATGCTGGAATCATCACTCCCATTTGCATTATTATTGTTGTTTTTCCAGCTTTTTTGGGAGAGAAGGGTGGACTTTATATTGGAGTTGCCATTTTTATGTACTATATGGCATTCGATTCCAATTTGGAAGAGAGTGGTAATTATTCATCACCTTGAAAGGAAGAATGACAAGTCAATAACAAGGAAAGGCCACATAATAATGGGTTCAGCCATGCCAATTTGCTATTTACATGTTTTTTTTCTCCAGGAAATGGTCAGGATTTTTTGTTTAACATTAAATAGGGCAGTACTTTAGAGACATTGTAGGTGTAATGGCACTAAAAAATAGTGTCACTAAAGATAAAGAAGCATGGCTCTGCAGCCTCTGCTCCTCAACTCTGTAAATAATGGAGAGAGAAGCTGTCAGATAACTCTTGCACGTCAACATGGCATCCAATTGACAAATTTTTGTAGTTCAAGAATTATTAACGCTCTCTTTTAATTATGGAGTAATTCCTGAATCAGATTTGATAATTGAGATTGTTTTTCTTCATACACTACATATGAAAACGGTTCAGGACTTTAAATCATCAATTTAGTCTATCAAGTTACAACCTGGTCAGGTTCGGTCAGATACATGGAGATTCCTTGATTGTTCTGACATGATTCCTTATAAATGCTTGACACTTGTCTCAAGTAACTAACTAAAAGCAATCTTAGTCTTTGATCTCCAGACAAAGCCATTGGTTTCCTGCAGACTTCCTTCAAGACAAAATGGATATATCTTGTTCTCTGCTAAGCAATGGAATTAAAGTGGAAGACTGTGATCATCCTTCCAGGTTCTACAACCAGAGAAGCAGCCTCACAAAACAGCCTATCACTTCCAACCTCCTCAAAACTGGCTAACTGGTATGACAAGCTAGCTTTAATAATCTTGTTCTTACAACGTCATATTCTTTCCTCGTACCTAGATATTCTAAAACTTTTTTTTTCTTTAAGATTTCAGTCTTCGTTATTGATGTGTTTGTTTTTGTCTTTGTTTGGTATCCATTCACTCAATCGACTGCTTTAGTGATGGGATAAATGGGTGACATTGACTACACAGATCCTAATGATAAGTAGGCAATGTGCTTCATTTAACACTCAAGTTACCTTTTTCTTTTATCCTTGCTCATGGTGGTTTGGACACAGCATTTAATGAATCCATCCCCCTAGATTTTCTTATTGTTTGGACAATTCAGCAATCTACCTTTAATTTTGAAGAAATTTTGAAACCAGAAAAAGGTCAATTTTTACATTTATATAGTATCAAGTAACCCGTTTTTTTTCCTTTTTTTTAAAATCCTTATATGATTCCACACATGTAAGGTATAAGCAATTTTAATAGCGTCTAGAAAAATAATGGAAACTCTGGAAAACCATCTGATCTCAGATGAAGTGTTTTACAGTTCTCTTACACTGGTTTACAGTTCTCTAACGGAAATAAGACTAGTAAGATATTGTTTCATCTAATGCAGGGCTGATGTACTAGAAGAGAGATTATCTCTTGTTCTACCAATACAATCCAAATGATGCATTGTTTGGTGATATTATGGTGTGGTCACATTCTGCATCATATGAACTTATTAACTGGTTCATTCTTGATCATGCACTTATTCCATCTGAGCCATTTTACATAAACAGTTGCTGGTTGGGTTCTGCTGCAATCCTTCCAGGCAATAAACCAGTCGTTTTATACACTTAGTCACCGGGTTCAAAACCTGGCAACCCCCCAAAAATCTATCTGATCCAATGCTAGTAGAATGGGTGAAAAGCTCCGGAAATCTTTATGACTCCACCAGATGGTGTTGAGGTGGATAATTTTAGAGATCCAACAACTACTTGGCAGGGTCCAGATGGAA